GTACCATGGCACTTATAACAAACAACAGGGGGGGATACCCAAGGTTTTATAGGACTTGATGGGATGAAATGTCCAAAAAAGGTGTAATGTCCAGGGGGAGGGTCACTGCCATTCCAAACAATGATGATCCTGTTGAGAGGTTGACCATCCTTATGTATCCGTCTTGCCTTGTAGACCCCGTCAAGGGTATAAGCTCTATCAAGAGGATACTCTTTGGGAAAACTGGTAACAATATATTCCTTAGGTTTTTTAGGTCGATTGATGATGTCTTCTCTGGTGAAAACAATATTAGCAATCTCACCTTTAACCAGTTGAGTGATGATATCTTCCTGCTTACGTGACACAAAGATGTAAGGGGATGTTGGTCTAGGTCGGACTATATCGAGGAGTGTTTTGGAGAACCTAGCAGAAAGTTGTTCGAACCATTTAAGTTTATCGTTGGTGGATGTTCCAGCTGGGAATGCCAGGCGCACATAGTCAGCGCGGGGAGCAATAGGAGGCGCCCTGTGCCCTGCCTACCTATCTGACCATGATGGCTTACCTATCGGTGCTTGCCTATCAGTTGTTACAGGGAGACGGTGCTTGCCTGGCGTGAGTGCCGGCCCAGCGAGACAGACCTACGTCAGAAAGGAAGAAACGACGACGTTTCGGTCCGTCACGGACCATTATCAGTTCATCGCACGACTTGATAATGGTCCAAGAAGGACCGAAACGTCGTGGTCTCCTCATCTTATGGTGTGTGGTCTGTTCATCATATCAGCCACGTCATTGTGACTCATCGTCAGCGAGACTTATCAAACAGTTTAGCTGCACGTTTCATCACGCATTATAAACATGATGATATTTAGTCTGTAGACATTCGTAATGATACTTCCCCCCCCTGACGATGTCTTCCCCCTGACGATGTCTTCCCCCTGACGATGTCTTCCCCCTGACGATGTCTTCCCCCTGACGATGTCTTCCCCCTGACGATGTCTTCCCCCTGACGATGTCTTCCCCCTGACGATGTCTTCCCCCTGACGATGTCTTCCCCCTGACGATGTCTTTCCCCTGACGATGTCTTTCCCCTGACGATGTCTTTCCCCTGACGATGTCTTTCCCCTGACGATGTCTTCCCCCTGACGATGTCTTCCCCCTGACGATGTCTTCCCCCTGACGATGTCTTCCCCCTGACGATGTCTTCCCCCTGACGATGTCTTCCCCCTGACGATGTCTTCCCCCTGACGATGTCTTCCCCCTGACGATGTCTTCCCCCTGACGATGTCTTCCCCCTGACGATGTCTTCCCCCTGACGATGTCTTCCCCCTGACGATGTCTCCCCCTGACGATGTCTCCCCCCTGACGATGTCTTCCCCCTGACGATGTCTTCCCCCTGACGATGTCTTCCCCCTGACGATGTCTTCCCCCTGACGATGTCTTCCCCCTGACGATGTCTTCCCCCTGACGATGTCTTCCCCCTGACGATGTCTTCCCCCTGACGATGTCTTCCCCCTGACGATGTCTTCCCCCTGACGATGTCTTCCCCCTGACGATGTCTTCCCCCTGACGATGTCTTCCCCCTGACGATGTCTTCCCCCTGACGATGTCTTCCCCTGTCGATGTCTTCCCCTGTCGATGTCTTCCCCTGTCGATGTCTTCCCCTGTCAATGTCTTCCCCTGTCAATGTCTTCCCCTGTCAATGTCTTCCCCTGTCAATGTCTTCCCCTGTCAATGTCTTCCCCTGTCAATGTCTTCCCCTGTCAATGTCTTCACTGACAGGGGGAAGTCGAAGGGGAAGGGAATTATTAGAGCAAAGCGCCAAGCCATTATGACTATATAGCACTTGGACGGGGTCAGGATAATGATTGGGGGATTGATGGCGGGAAAGGAAAGGTACCCGTCCACTTGGACGGTCGGGGATTGAACGCCGACCTGCATGAAGCGAGACCGTCACTCTACCGGCCAGCCCAAGCGGTTGGGGGTAGTCAAAGACTGACAGAGTGGCAAATGATTAATATGTACTAATCTAAGAATTAATATGTACTAAACCGACATATGTATGTCTATGAGAGAGAGAATATATTCCTCTGACTGTTCAAGGCTTGGGGGACCAGACGCTTGGGGATAGTCGCACTAAACTGGGCAGGATAAAAGGTGATTTTATGGAGCGTGTCATAGGGGGGACACTGTCGGCCCCCATACCATCGTTGAAGGCGGGGTTCGGCCCCTATGGTCCCTTCACGAAGTCTGTGGTTATGAAATATGTCACCCACAGTCCGTAGAGTTTAACATTTTCATGATGAAGTGAAAAAAAACTGGAGGAAGAATAGCATTTTGTGATTTAAAGTCTGCTCTTCAAGCAAATGAAAACTTCTCCTGGAAGATAGACACCAAGAACCTCATACTACCAATTATAAATGACCTAATAGGTGCACAGAGAAAAGGGTTTCGAATCTCCTTTGAATGGATATACCATCACACAAAAATATAACCCATCATAATGAGACAAACATTGCAGCCAAATTAGCGTGTAACAAAATATGAAGATGAATAAGACTCAGGTATCCCCATCTCACCTGTCAAGACTATATTGTTACGAACACTCAGGACTGATATTGCAACAGGTGCATATGGAAAGTGGTCTTTGCTATATTTTAGTGTCACTAAGACGGTGCAAGGTGCTAAGGTGAGTGAAAAGCAAAGATTATTACTGTATGGCACTAGGAAGGGTTCAGGATAAGGATCTGGAATGGGACGAAGGGAAGGAATGGTGCCCAACCGCTTGGACGGTCGGGGATTGAACTCCGAATTGTACAAAGCGAGATCGTCGCTATTACCATCCAGCTCAAGTGATTGGGCACCATTCCTTATCCCCGTCCCATCCCAGATCCTTATCCTGATCCCTTCCTAGTGCTGTACAGTAGTCATTTCTTTACTTTCCACTCATTATAATATAGAACACCGTCTTAATGACACTAAAATATAGCAAAGATCATTTTTCAATATGCACCTGTTGCAATATTCACCCTGATGCCCCTGGTAACACGGGCATCAGGGTGAAAGAAGCTGTGCCCAGTGTTTCTCTCCGGCGCCCGGGATCGGACCCGGGACCACAGGATCACGCGCCAGTGTTCTGTCCGCTCAGCCACCGGCTCCCATACCTAAGCGAGGAGCTGCGTGTGGACCCGCTCTCTCTCAAAGCTTCAAGAGCGAGACTTACTGCCACTTGTTCCTGCACTTTACTGTAGAGTTCCGCGATCTCACGTGTTCCGTGGGAGACCCCCTCACGTGTTCCGTGAGAGACCCTCACGTGTTCCGTGAGAGACCCTCACGTGTTCCGTGAGACCCCCTCACGTGTTCCGTGAGACCCCCTCACGTGTTCCGTGAGACCCTCACGTGGGTCCGAGCGTACTGGTGCCACGTGCTCGGCGCGTACCGAGCACGTGGCCTCCAAAAGTGAGAGTTTGCCTCTTAACTAGAAAAGAGGATAGTACAAAGTATAGAGTGTATTAGGGTTGGTTACTTGTTAGTTGGAGTATTGGAGATGGCTCTCACTTGGGTGTACAGGGGTGTACAGGTGTACAGGGGGTGTACACGTGGTGTACAGGGGTGTACATCAAGTGGGTTTGTAGAGAGTGTACACTAGGTTGTTTCACAGGACTTTATTGAATGAGGTAACACGATAGGCCTATCGCACCGAGGTCCTGTACCCTGCCTGGTCCTCTCTAAGTACCGGTGCCGCCCACGTGAGCAGGCACCCGCTGGCTCTACGGTGCGTGACGTCAGAGGCCTAGGAGCGCCTCGGGGTTGGCAGTATCTCCAACCATCTACAGCTTGAAGACTGACAGGTGATACTTCAAAATTAAAGTCTGCTTTTTGTACTATTAATTTAGTAAAAGGCCGTGAAAAGAAGGCAATAAGCTGTCATTTTGTAGGCATAGTATAGTACATATATGTACTAAAGCAGACTTAAGATTGTGTGTAGGCATAGTATAGTACATATATGTACTAAAGCAGACTTAAGATTGTGTGTATATTAGGCCTAGAATTGATTATTTACGATTCGGCGATATTTCATGTTCATATGTTGTTAAAGATTCGCTACCTGGAACAGAGTTCCAAGTAGCACGGGCTATGGTGAGCCCGTAGTGCCTTATCATGTTCATAGTCCGGTTTCACTTTTTATTTTGGCCTTCAGTATGTCTGAAGTAGAATAGAAAACGTGAACTTTTTTTTTTTTGGGGGGGGGGGGACAAGTAAATATTTTGTACTATCTGTCATTAGTAGCTATAGATACTATCCACTTTTTTTTTTTTTTGAAAGATGGGTTGGTGGAAGGAGTGAGTGTACATACTGGAGATCCCATAACAATCAACAATCACAGGAGGGAAGGAAGTCATTGCCCCAGACAACCACTAGAATAAAATCGGGATCCAGGAGCTAGAACAAAACCTCTCAGCATCACAACTAAACGTTAACACACACACACGCACACACGCACACACGCACACACGCACACACGCACACACACACACACACAACACACACACACACACACACACACACACACACACACACACACACACACACACACACACACACACACACACACACACACACACACACACACACACACACACGCACACACACACGCACACACACACGCACACACACACACACACACACACACACACACACACACACACACACACCACACACACACACACACACACACACACACACACACCACACACACACACACACACACACACACACGCACACACGCACACACGCACACACGCACACACACACACACACACACACACGCACCAACGCACGCAGTACACTATAACATTACCCAGGACGGTGAGAAAGAGCTCAGCTGGAAGCCCTCTGGTGGCGGTATAAAGAGATGTGTGGACAGTAATTGGTAGTTCTCCACACAATGTCTGGCCGAGGCGCCGGTGGCAATTTGCGAGTGTGTATTGGTAGTTCGGTCATTACCGGGACCCCGTTGTGTCCTATGAAACTGTCAACGCTGGACACCGTCTCTGGCTCATTAAGCTCCTTGAGGGCTCTATAAAGCAGTAAGTGCCGGGCTCAATCACCAGTAGAGCGCTTCTTGAGGGCTCCAGGAAGCTGGGGTGGCGCTGGGCTCCAGGAAGCTGGTGTAGTGCTGGGCTCCAGGAAGCTGGGGTAGTGCTGGGCTCCAGGAAGCTGGCAGTGCTGGGCTCCAGGAAGCTAGGGCAGCGCTGGGCTCCAGGAAGCTGGGGTAGTGCTGGGCTCCAGGAAGCTGGCAATGCTGGGCTCCAGGAAGCTGGGGCAGCGCTGGGCTCCAGGAAGCTGGGGCAGCGCTGGGCTCCAGGAAGCTGGGGCAGCGCTGTGCTCCAGGAAGCTGGGGCATCGGTGGGCTCCAGGAAGCTGGGGTAGTGCTGGGCTCCAGGAAGCTGGGGTAGCGCTGGGCTCCAAGAAGCTGGGGTAGTGCTGGGCTCCAGGAAGCTGGGGTAGTGTTGGGCTCCAGGAAGCTGGGGTAGTGCTGGGCTCCAGGAAGCTGGGGTAGTGCTGGGCTCCAGGAAGCTGGGGCAGCGCTGGGCTCCAGGGAGCTGGGGTAGCGCTAGGCTCCAGGAAGCTGGGGTAGCGCTGGGCTCCAGGAAGCTGGGGCAGCGCTGGGCTCCAGGAAGCTGGGGCAGCGCTGGGCTCCAGGAAGCTGGGGCAGCGCTGGGCTCCAGGAAGCTGGGGCAGCGCTGGGCTCCAGGAAGCTGGGGCAGCGCTGGGCTCCAGGAAGCTGGGGCAGCGCTGGGCTCCAGGAAGCTGGGGTAGTGCTGGGCTCCAGGAAGCTGGCAATGCTGGGCTCCAGGAAGCTGGGGTAGTGCTGGGCTCCAGGAAGCTGGGGCAGCGCTGGGCTCCAGGAAGCTGGGGCAGCGCTGGGCTCCAGGAAGCTGGGGCAGCGCTGGGCTCCAGGAAGCTAGGGCAGCGCTGGGCTCCAGGAAGCTGGGGTAGCGCTGGGCTCCAGGAAGCTGGGGCAGCGCTGGGCTCCAGGAAGCTGGGGCAGCGCTGGGCTCCAGGAAGCTGGGGTAGTGCTGGGCTCCAGGAAGCTGGGTAGCGCTGGGCTCCAGGAAGCTGGGGTAGCGCTGGGCTCCAGGAAGCTGGGGTAGCGCTGGGCTCCAGGAAGCTGGGGCAGCGCTGGGCTCCAGGAAGCTGGGGTAGTGCTGGGCTCCAGGAAGCTGGTAGTACTGGGCTCCAGGAAGCTGGGGTAGTGCTGGGCTCCAGGAAGCTGGGGTAGTGCTGGGCTCCAGGAAGCTGGGGTAGTGCTGGGCTCCAGGAAGCTGGGGTAGTGCTGGGCTCCAGGAAGCTGGGGCAGCGCTGGGCTCCAGGAAGCTGGGGCAGCGCTGGGCTCCAGGAAGCTGGGGCAGCGCTGTGCTCCAGGAAGCTGGGGCATCGGTGGGCTCCAGGAAGCTGGGGTAGTGCTGGGCTCCAGGAAGCTGGGGCAGCGCTGGGATCCAGGAAGCTGGGGTAGCGCTAGGCTCCAGGAAGCTGGGGTAGCGCTGGGCTCCAGGAAGCTGGGGTAGCGCTGGGCTCCAAGAAGCTGGGGTAGTGCTGGGCTCCAGGAAGCTGGGGTAGTGTTGGGCTCCAGGAAGCTGGGGTAGTGCTGGGCTCCAGGAAGCTGGGGTAGTGCTGGGCTCCAGGAAGCTGGGGTAGTGCTGGGCTCCAGGAAGCTGGGGCAGCGCTGGGCTGCAGGGAGCTGGGGTAGTGCTGGGCTCCAGGAAGCTGGGGTAGCGCTGGGCTCCAGGAAGCTGGGGTAGCGCTGGGCTCCAGGAAGCTGGGGCAGCGCTGGGCTCCAGGAAGCTGGGGTAGCGCTGGGCTCCAGGAAGCTGGGGCAGCGCTGGGCTCCAGGAAGCTGGGGCAGCGCTGGGCTCCAGGAAGCTGGGGCAGCGCTGTGCTCCAGGAAGCTGGGGCAGCTGTTGGGCTGCACGCAAGAAACGCTTCAAAGGAATCTTGTCTATTTAATTAAAGTTGAGTGGAGGGAGGGGGCGACGGGTGATGGATGGGAGCCCGGGTGTAAGCGTGTGCGGCGGCGGCGTCCTGAACCTTCAAGTCTCGGGGGTAACAAATGAGCATCATATCGGCCACGAGCCTTGCGGTCCCTGCAGCCGTCCCGCCCAGTACCTGATGGGCCGCAGACACGGCTTCTGCCCCCCCCGCTTTAACATGTCTCCTCTATCTTATTAACATCTATATTGACAAAATTAGCGTGCCGCGTCCGGGCAAGAGATGTCCTACCCTGGCTCGGGTGTATTGCGATTCAATACAAGCCTCAAATGGGACAGTTATGATATAATTGTTTGAGATAAGGGTGTTGCCTTGAGATTTCATCAGCTGTGTGTGTCTGTGTTGATGATACAAGCGCGTGGTTGATGATCTTGTATGGCTCTTATATGGCTCAGCGGAAGGAATGCTCGAGTGATAATTTAAGAATAAATTTTTGCAGCGGAATTGAATTATAATAATTCTTGTTGTAGTTTGTCTTGCGTTGTGTCTCAGTTTAGACATGCGCTGCTTGCTCGCTCTCTCGCTCGCTCTCTCTCTCGCTCTCTCTCTAGCTCTCTCTCTCTCGCTCTCTCTCTCTCTCGCTCTCTCTCTCTCGCTCTCTCTCTCTCGCTCTCTCTCTCTCGCTCTCGCTCTCGCTCTCTCTCTCTCTCTCTCTCTCTCGCTCTCGCTCTCTCTCTCTCTCTCTCTCTCTCTCTCTCTCTCGCTCTCTCTCTCTCTCTCTCTCTCTCTCTCTCTCTCTCTCTCTCTCTCTCGCTCTCGCTCTCGCTCTCCTCTCTCTCTCTCTCTCTCTCTCTCTCTCTCTCTCTCTCTCTCTCTCTCTCTCTCTCTCTCTCTCTCTCTCGTACTCTCTCGTACTCTCTCGTACTCTCTCGTACTCTCTCGCACTGGTACTCTCTCTCACCCACACACTACACATATCATGGTTGGAGGGAGGTGCACGTGTGAGGAGCAACAGCCACAAGTCTCTACTCCAGGCCAGGTCGTGCTCGGGGTCGAGGTCCACCTTTAACTCCAGCTCACATTACACACAAACAACACGTGTGCGCTAGTGAGTACTCGCATGTTTGGGCTTGTAGGATCGAGCTTTAGTTCTTGGACCCCCGGTTGTTCAGCCGCTAATCGTCTCAACTTGTTGGTCATCAGATCAACTTGTAAAGTTATGAATGGAATTCGCGTCTCCAACCTGCGGTATTAGTTCATAATATTTTGCAACTGTGCTATGATCACGTCTGGCGTCTTGAGAGTCTGGCGTCTTGAGAGTCTGGCGTCTTGAGAGTCTGGCGTCTTGAGAGTCTGGCGTCTTGAGTGTCTGGCGTCTTGAGAGTCTGGCGTCTTGAGAGTCTGGCGTGTTGGGGGTCTGGCGTCTTGAGAGTCTGGCGTCTTGAGAGTCTGGCGTCTTGAGAGTCTGGCATCTTGAGAGTCTGGCGTCTTGAGAGACACATGACCCAGAACAACGCTTACAAGAGGATGCAGCTCTCCAGAGGCTACGAAAGAGCGTCAACTTGCTCACGAAGCTCTCTTCCTGTAGAAGAAGTCAGTAGGTAAGACGGATTCTGAAGATGTGGTGTAGCTCCTCAGAGTCAGCATGGCCGTTCATCTTCTAGTACGTCCCCACTTCGTGTCCTATTTTGAGATGTTATCTTGAGATGATTTCGGGGCTTTAGTGTCCCCGCGGCCCGGTCCTGGACCAGTCCTCCACCCCCAAGGAAGCAGCCCGTGACAACTAACACCCAGGTACCTATTTTACTGCTAGGTAACAGGGGCATAGGGTGAAAGAAACTCTGCCCATTGTTTCTCGCCGGCGCCCGGGATCGAACCCGGGACCACAGGATCACAAGTCCAGCGTGCTGTCCGCCCGCCGACCGGTTCCCGTCCTGGTTGAGATTTTTTTTACTTGTGGACCATTGAGGAGGAGAAAGTCCTTGTGGACTTGGACCTTACACCCGAGGTCTGTTGTGGTCACACTGATGACGTCGTGTTACAGGGACCCGACATGCAGTGCTCGCTACCTCTTAAGGAAGCTTCGAGCCACGTTCCGTGCTTAATTTCACTTAGGAGTTGGTAAGTGAAGACAAGCTGCCTTTCCCGGATATAACGGTCTCGGCAACGAATGGCCGCTTTCACATTTCAGTCTAAGGAAACTAACATAGGAATGCGACTTAATGCCCTGACCGGTACAAAGGAAGTGGTGTCGACGGCCCCATCAACTACGCCCCTACCAACCCCGCCCCTACCAACCCCGCCCCTACCAACCCCGCCCCTATCAACCCCGCCCCCCCTCAATCAACCACGCCCCCTCAATCAACCACGCCCCTCACACACTCCTCCACTTGCAAGCAGGTTGTCAAGGCGAACTCAGTAGTGTATAATGAATAATGAATACTTATTATTGTCAATAATGTGTACATCATTGTCAATAATGAATACTTTGAAGGTAACAGTGAACATTGGTACAACGGGAGGTGAACCGCCGTGCTCCCTTTAATGACGTCAACACTACAGATTCTGTGGGATTATGGTGGGAGGGCGGAGGGGAGGTGAGGGAAGGTGGGAGAGGGAGGGCAGGGAAGGTGGGAGAGGGCAGGCAGGGAAGGTGGGAGAGGGAGGGCAGGGAAGGTGGGAGAGGGAGGGCAGGGAAGGTGGGAGAGGGAGGGCAGGGAAGGTAGGAGGGGGGAGGGCGGGGAAGGAGGGAGGGGGAGGGCTGGGAAGGAGGGAGGGGGAGGGCGGGGAAGGAGGGAGGGGGGAGGGCAGGGAAGGTGGGAGGGGGGAGGTCAGGGAAGGGGGGAGGGGGAGGTCAGGGAAGGTGGGAGGGGGCGGGCAGGGAAGGTGGGAGGGGCAGGGAAGGTGGGAGGGGGCAGGGAGAGGGAAGGTGGGAGGGGGAGGGAAGCAAGAATGGAGACGTCACCTTCAAGAGGACATGTCCACTTGGAAAAAAGTTCAACAAAAAACAACAAAAATCATCTCAGAACGA